GAGTTTTCCTCCGATCTCTTGAGGACCTTCTGTCAGGCGGAGGGCATCGAGCAGACCTTCACGCTTCCGGACTCCCCACAGCAGAATGGGGTTGCTGAGCGCCGCATTGGCCTGGTCATGGAGGTCGCTCGTACCTCCTTGGTCCACGCGGCGGCTCCCCATTTTCTGTGGCCGTTTGCTGTCCGGTACGCCGCGCATCAGCTCAACCTCTGGCCCCGTGTCTCCTTGCCGGAGACCTCGCCCACACTGCGTTGGACGGGGGAGGTTGGCGATGCGTCGCGCTTCCGGGTGTGGGGTGCTCGTGCCCTTGTCCGCGATACGTCCGCGGACAAGCTCTCCTCCCGCACGCTTCCCTGTGTCTTCCTTGGCTTTGTCCCTGACGCGCCTGGCTGGCAGTTTTACCACCCCACCTCGCGCCGGGTCTTCGCCTCTCAGGATGTCACCTTTGACGAGTCGGTTCCCTTTTACTGTCTCTTCCCCTACCGCACTGCCCCCCTCCCTCCCCCGCCACTTTTCCTTGCTCCTGGTCCCCCTCCGGTAGACCCCCTTCCCCCTCAGGGTCCTGCTCCTTCAGGTGTCTCTCAGGTAGACCCTCCTCCCGTCGCTGAGCCTGTCGAGGTCACAGGTGACTCAGGTGCTGCTGCGGGTGGTGCTGCTGGGCGTGCTGAGCCTGGGGGTGCTGAGCCTGGGGGTGCTGGGCCTGGGGGTGCTGGGGCTGCGGGTGCTGGGACTGAGGGTGCTGGAGCTGAGGGTACGGTGCCTGAGAGTACGGAGCCTGGGGGTGCTGAGCCTGGGGGTGCTGAGCCTGCGGGTGCGGGGCCTGGGAGTGCTGGGACTGCGGGTGCTGGAGCTGAGGGTACTGTGCCTGAGAGTTTGCCGCCTGGGGGTGCTGAGCCTGGGGGTGCTGAGCCTGCGGGTACTGAGCCTGCGGGTACTGAGCCTGGGGGTGCTGCTACTGAGCCTACGGAGCCTCGGGTTACTGCGTCTGGGGGTGCTCCGGTTCGGGGTGCTGAGCAGTCTCTCACACCGCAGCAGCTTCGTGACTGGTACGTCCGGCGCTTTCGCCGTCCTAGTGGCTCGGCTGGAGTTGGGGGTGCTGGGGCTGCTCGTCCTGGGGGTGCTCGTACTGGGGGTACTGGAGCTACCGGGACTGGTTGTTCTGGGAGCACTGCGACTGGAGCTGCTGGAGCTGGGGACTCTGGCGCTGGCGGTGCTAGCGGAGTTGGAGCTGCCGACTCTGGGGGTGGCGCTGCTGCTGGTGCTGCGGACCCGCCTGGTGGAGCTGCTGCTGGAGCTGAGGACCCGAGCGGTGGCGCTGCTGCTGGTGCTGGGGACCCGGACGTTGGAGCTCCTGCTGGTCCTGAGGACCCGGCCGCTGGAGTCTCTTCTGCTTCTGGAGACGCTGCGCGGCCGCGACCGTACTTCGTACCGCTCCTTCAGCAGGTTCTTGGGCAGGCTCCTCCTCCTTGTCCTCCTCCCTCCGTAGAGTGTCCTCCGCCTGTCCAGCCGCAGTCACAGTTCCCGCCTGCCTCGCCTCTCCCTGCTCCCTCTCCTTACGCTGGTCCCACAGGAGGTCTTACAGAGCGTCGTGAGCCTGAGTCTCGTCCTGCGTCGCCTGTTCGTCCTGCTCGCACTGGTAGTCGTGTCCGTCGTGAGCGTCCTCCTCCTGTCCCAGGCACTCACTACATGACTCTGCGTCCCTCTACTGCTCCTCAGCGTGTCCCTCTACCGTCTCCTCCTGCGTCCTCTTTGCCTGCCGTTCCGGACCCTGAGTCTGACCGGTATCGCGCTGAGCACCCTACTGTCACGCGTCTCCTAGCTACTGTTGTCACTGACCCTACCTTTGAGTCCTCGGCTGCGTCTGCTCTGGTCGCTGAGTTGGTTGACTTTGCTGCTGCCTGTCGTCTAGACTACGCTGCTAGCCTTGTTGCTGAGTCTGAGTCTGCGTCTGTCTGTCCTCCGTCCGTCGGGGGTGAGTGTGCTCTTGGCACGGACGTCCTTGAGGACAGGCAGGAGGACTTTGACTCTCTCGCGGCTGCTGTACCTCATCTCGTGGCCTGGTTGCTTGCCCCTGAGGGAGACCCGGATGCACTAGACATCCCCACTCCGCGCACTTACGCTGAGGCGATCGCGAGTCCCTACTCCTCTCAGTGGCAGACAGCCATGGACGCAGAGATGGCATCCTGGAAGTCCACAGGCACCTACGTCGACGAGGTTCCCCCTCCTGGGGCGAACATCGTCGATGGCATGTGGATTTTCAGGGTGAAGCGGCCGCCAGGTTCTCCGCCTGTCTTCAAGGCTCGTTACGTTGCTAGAGGCTTCAGTCAGCGTCAGGGGGTCGACTTCTTCCAGACCTTCTCCCCCACCCCGAAGATGACCACTCTTCGGGTTCTGCTGCACGTTGCTGCTCAGCGTGACTACGAGCTTCACTCTCTTGACTTCAGCACAGCGTTCCTGCAGGGCAGCCTGCACGAGGAGATCTGGCTGCGCCGCCCACCTGGCTTTACTGGGTCGTTTCCCCCTGGTACCCAGTGGAGTCTCCGCCGGCCAGTCTACGGTCTCCGCCAGGCGCCACGTGAGTGGCACGACACACTGAGGACTACACTTGCGGCTCTTGGGTTCGCGCCGTCTACTGCTGACCCGTCGCTGTTTCTGCGCACAGACACGTCGCTGCCGCCGTTCTACATCCTCGTGTACGTCGACGACTTGGTCTTTGCTACTGCTGACACAGAGGCACTCGCTCGTGTGAAGTCGGAGCTGCAGAAGAGACACACCTGCACTGACCTGGGTGAACTGCGTAGCTACCTTGGCTTGCAGATCACCCGGGACAGAGCTCGCCGCACCATCACCCTGACTCAGTCACACATGGTGCAGCAGGTCCTTCAGCGCTTCGGCTTCCAGTTCTCCTCACCACAGGCCACACCTCTGGCTACCAGCCACTCGCTCTCAGCTCCACCTTCGGACGAGTCCGTAGAGCCGAGTGGCCCGTACCCAGAGCTTGTAGGCTGCCTCATGTACCTGATGACTTGCACGCGACCTGACCTCGCGTACCCTCTTAGCATCCTTGCTCGTTACGTTGCGCCTGGGAGACACAGGCGAGAGCACTGGGAGGCTGCTAAGAGGGTGCTGCGTTACTTGTGCAGTACATCAGGCATGGGGCTGGTGCTTGGAGGACGCGACAGAGTTGTCCTCACTGGTCACTCGGACGCTTCTTGGGTGGACGACCTGGCTACGCAGCGGTCGTCACAGGGTTACACCTTCAGCCTTGGCTCTGGTTCTGTCTCGTGGCGGTCCACTCGCTCTTCCTCTGTTCTCGGCTCTAGTTGTGAGGCTGAGATCTACGCCACAGCCATGGCTGCACAGGAGTTACGCTGGCTCACCTACCTGCTGACTGACTTGGGAGAGCGGCCTAGTTCTCCTCCAGTTCTGTACGGTGACAACAAGGCGGCTCTTGCCTTGTGTCAGGAGCACAGACTGGAGCACAGGACGAAGCACATTGCTCTTCGCTACTTTCTTGCTCGAGAGCTTCAGCAGCGCGGTCAGCTTCGGCTTGTGTACGTGGACTCGAAGGCCAACACTGCTGATATCTTCACCAAGGCGCTCCCGCCTAGTGATCATCAGCGGCACTGTACTTCTTTAGGCCTTGTGTCCACGTTTCCTCACTTGCTCACTGCTTGACATTCTTTGTACTGTACTTTATATATATCTTGTTGCTTGCTTGCTAGGTTTTGATCACTGTGTTGCTTGTCTTGTACTATATCTAGCACTGCATGTGAACTGGCCTTGTGGCCTTTACTTGTGCTCGGAGTGTGGTGACGTTGTGATCCACCCTGGGCTTTGCTTTGCTTTGTTGGACTGGTCTTATGACCCTTTGTTCTCCCCCACTTTGCCTATGGGGGTGTGTTAAACTCTATTATGCTTGTAGGCTGTAGTGGGGTAGCCAATATGGGGTACAACCCCAACTAGGGTTTCATATTTGTACCCAAACTCCTGCTAGTTCATTTCATTCTTGCCTAGTTATCTTGAGAGCCCATTCCAAATCAGCCTCATGATCACACCAGTAACCACGCATCTATTGTTACCGTCAGACTGGTACATCAGCCCATCATTCCACGTCAGCCTGCTTCGCCCATACATCCCCACCACAAGTCAACTGCCGCGTCACCGCCGCCATCCATGACCTGCCCTGCATCGGAGCCGATCATTGAGCCTCAAAAAATCCTGAGCCATCGGATTCGCCACCCCACTGGCACCAAGAGGATTGAATTCCTCGTTCGCTGGAAGGACCGCACGCCAACTGAGGATAGCTGGGTGCCCCTGGCCAACATCGAAAACCACCCTGCCCTGCAAGTGTACCTGAGGAGCCGGGGATTCCGCGATATACACGCACTCGCGCAGCGGAGGGGGCTTCTTTAGGGGGAGGGTAGTGTAAGGAATTTTCTCGGCATTCCTTACGGAGTCCGGCTACATCGCGTACAGCAACAGCCGTTGTTCGCCCGTTACTGCTAACGGGACTTCGCCAACTTCGCGCGCCATGTTTTGCCAAACCTCGCACTGCTGGCCCGGCCGTGTCGGCCTACGCTTCGGGACTAGCCCGAACCTCGCTGCGAGCGTAGCACTAGCTAGCTCGCATGCACCACTTTACAGTTTGCATGTTTCACAAATAAATGTTCGCTCATGCCTTTGCTCACATTTGGTACTCGTTTGACACTTGGTGCAATCCTCGCTCCCTCGATCCATTGCACCTGTAACGCGTCACAACAGACAATGCCGCGAAAACCCCACATCTCAACCTTCGGTTTCCTCAACCCCCACACCTCGACCTTTGATTTTCTCATCTATCCTGGATGCTGCGATTCCATTGAACGCGAACCAAGTCAATCAGTTTTGCCTGACTTATTTATCCGTCGATTGCGGCCTCTAAATGAGCCCACCTCCAGCGACTGCGGTCCCTGCTTTCAATCGCAAGCATCGAGTAATTCGCGCTGAAGCCGCCTGCGATGCACGCTTGGGCCTCGCCAATGCCCCTCTTCTCGCTTTCCACCCAAACGCGTTCCTCCAGTCACCGTCGCAGCGTCCCCTCACATGGCGTCTTATTCTCATTCTCGCTCTCAATCCCTTGCCCCCCCGCCGCGACAAGCGACGCAGAGCTCAAACGTATTTATGCTATCCCTCCCCACGACACGCGTTTACCTCGTAGGTTACTTCCTTCCGCCCTTCCTCGAAGTCCCGTATCGGGAGTCATCTAGCCGCCGTTTACCCGGTGCCACCTGCCGCGTCGCGCTTACTCGCGTCTCGCCACGTTCATCCGCCCCCATCGCCTCGGCCGCCGTTCGACTGCCTCGTCAGCTCCACTCCACTCCAACCGTCGACGCGGCTTTTTACCGCGAGCGCGGGCGTGCCTATCGCGTTGCGCGTGCCAGGGTCGCCTCTCAACAATGCTGCGATTCTATCGCCGTAGCCCGCTCGTCGCCGCCATGCACGGCCGCCATCTTCACGGCGGGCCGTCCGCCCTTCGCCTCGCCGCCGCCGTCGCGCTCGTCGTGGTGCTGTTGGGCTGTGCGAGCGGCGCAGCTGGCGGCGCGGAGACGATCACGTTCGTGAAGTGGAAGTACGGCACGGCCGCGGACATCGAAACCACCCTCTTCGACCGCGCTCTGTGCGGGCGTCGCGTGAGGAGCACGTGGGATGCGACCACGATGGGCGTGTCGTGGACCAACCAGGTCGGCGAGTCAGCGTCAACGCCGCCCATGTGCCGCGCCGTGGCGCTCTACGCCAGCGACGCCTGCCAGGGCGCCCCCTACCGCATCTTCATCCGCCCGCCCTCCCCGCCCGGCCAACCCAGCACCTCCGCATGGTGACGCCCGCCACGCCTCCACCCGCTCCTCCAATACGCGCTCTCGCTCGCTTGCTGTGCCGTTCCACTCCCAGTCGTTCACTCGGCGCTCACCTCTCGCCCTCCCTGCGCCCTCTCCCCCTCTCTGTGCTCCCAGGGACTTGAAGTACAACCAGCTGCCTGCATCAGTCAGCTGCGACATGGGTGAGTGAGCTGCGTGCCATTACCATGCACCGTGCCATGCACACCATGCCATGCACACCATGCCATGCACACCATGCCATGCACACCATGCCATGCACACCATGCCATGACCACCATGCCATGCACACCATGCCATGCACACCATGCCATGCACACCATGCCATGCACACCATGCCATGACCACCATGCCATGCACACCATGCCATGCACACCATGCCATGCACACCATGCCATGCACACCATGCCATGCACACCATGCCATGCACACCATGCCATGACCACCATGCCATGCACACCATGCCATGCACACCATGCCATGCACACCATGCCATGCACACCATGCCATGACCACCATGCCATGCACACCATTCCATGCACACCATGCCATGCACACCATGCCATGCACACCATGCCATGACCACCATGCCATGCACACCATGCCATGACCACCATGCCATGCACACCATGCCATGCACACCATGTCACACGCACCATGCCATACGCACCATGCCACACGCACATGCCATACGCACATGCCATACGCACATGCCATACCCACCATGCCACACGCACCATGCCACACGCACCATGCCACACGCACATGCCACACGCACATGCCATACGCACATGCCATACGCACATGCCATACGAACATGCCATACGCACATGACATACGCACCATGCCACACGCACATGCCACACGCACATGCCATACGCACATGCCATACGCACATGCCATACGCACATGCCATACGCACATGACATACGCACATGACATACGCACATGCCATACGCACATGCCATACACACATGCCATACGCACATGCCATACGCATCGTGCCATACGCATCGTGCCATACGCATCGTGCCATACGCACATGCCATACGCATCGTGCCCGGCACAGGCCAGGCCCACCTGTCACGTGGGCCGTGAGTCCACCATGTGCGAGGCAGGCTGATACCACCTGCGCACATCTGCCCGCCCCGATACCGCTGTGCGGAGCTGCTGCTTCACGCGCCAGAGGACTCAAGTCAGTCAGTGCGGGCCACAAGCAGCCCATCACATGCCACGAGCAGCCCGTCACATGCCACGAGCAGCCCGTCACATGTCACGCCCACCCCATGCCTGCTGGGCCTGTCTCGGCCCCGCTGGGCATGGCAGAGTGGGAATTGGTGTGGTGTGGGCGGGTGTCCCTATTGTGGAGCCGGCCTATGGCCGTGTGTGGCATTGCCTCATCACTGCCATTGTGCCCGCCCCGCCCACCACGGCACCATTCATCAAGTCACACGCCACCACACTGTATCGCACATATGCCAAATTCACAACACGTGCCACGCTCCCCCCCTCCCTCCCCACGTGTGCAACCCCTGTGCTCCTCGCTGCCTCCAAAGGCTGCTCTCAGGATGTGAGCTGCGCGCCGCCCGCTGTGTGCGTGGTGAGGGGCGGGCGCTCGCAGTGCGTGTGCCCCGACAACCAGCTGTACGACGCTGCCACCCAGCAGTGCACGCGTGAGTGCTGCATCCCCAGTGGAGTACTTCCTCTACTGACCTCCTTGTACTTCACACCCCCTTTTCGTTCTCACCATCTGTATTCTCTCCCTCTTCCCCCATTTCTCTAGCTTCAGCCTCTTGATGTCTCCGTTTTGCTTCTCACCAATTCTCCCCAGGCTCTTGCGTGTGCTGCATGGGGAGGCCTCATGCCGCTGATGCGAGCCAAATTCCAACATCATGCCTCAAGCGTGCTCGCCTTGCGCCTTGCCCCTTCCACCTCTCCTACCTACAGTACCCCAATCCTGTGCGACCCTGGTGTGTCCGCCCAAGCACTCCTGCAATGATGCCGTCCGTCCTCCCACATGCGTTGGTGAGCCTCTTGCTTCTCACGCTCGTGATTCTCTTATTTTGCCCCTAAGCTGTAGCTTATGCTCCATGTGTGGACGAGGCGCTATGCCTCTCATTGATGCCAATCTCTACAACATTGCCGCTCAAGCTTGCTTGCCTTGCCCCGCCCACCGCCCCTACCTGCAGCGCCCGCACCGTGTTCGATCTTCGACTGCCCCACCAGCTCCACCTGCAATGATACTGCCCTCCCTCCCACATGCGTCTGTAATAAGGGGCTTGTAATGAAAGACAAACAGTGCGTTGGTGAGTTTCTTGCTTTTCTCCTCTCGCTTCTCTCCTCTTGCTTATCACCCTTTTGCATTTCGCCGTCCTGTTTCTCACCATTATTTTCTTAAGCTGTTGCATTTTGCTGCCATTGTGCGGGGCCGCTATGCTGCTGGTTTATAGAATCTTGTCGCTCAAGCTTCTTGCTTCCCGCCGTGCTCCTCCCACCTCTCCTACCTGCAGCGCTCCGACCGTGTGACACCTACCAGTGTCAGGCCAACTTCACCTGCGATGATAGTAGCGGCGCTCCCACATGCGTCTGTAACAAGGGGCTTATACTCAACGGGACACAGTGCGTTGGTGAGTCTCTTGCTTCACACCCCCTTGCTTTCTTCTCTCCCTCTTGCGTGCCGCCATCGTTTTTGTAAGCTGTTACGTTTTGCTGCAAAAGGGGGGGGGGAGAGGGGGGCATGCTGCTGGTTTATGTCAGTCTCCAGAATCTTGCCACTCAAGCATCTTGCCACTCAAGCATCTTGCCTCGCGCCTTGCTGCTCTCCTCGCACCTCGCCTGCGTGCAGCTGCGCCAACGTGTGCGTCTTTCAACTGCCCGCCCAGCTTTGTCTGCGACGATTCTACCCTCCCTGCCAAATGCGTCTGTGCTCAGGGGCTTGTACTCAACGGGACACAGTGCATTGGTCAGTCTCTTGCATCTTTACCTTTGCTCTCCCTCTTGCATCTCTCCCTCTTGCACCTCTCCCTCTTGCACCTCTCCCTCTTGCATCTCTCCCTCTTGCATCTCTCCCTCTTGCATCTCTCCCTCTTGCATCTCTCCCTCTTGCATCTCTCCCTCTTGCACCTCTCCCTCTTGCATCTCTCCCTCTTGCATCTCTCCCTCTTGCATCTCTCCCTCTTGCATCTCTCTCTCTTGCTTACCACCCACGTGCTTCGCGCTCTCTTGCTTCGCACCCCCTTGTTTGACTCCCGCTTGCGTCTCTCCCTTTTGCTTCTCTCCTTGTTGCTCCGTTCCCCCTTGCTTCACGCCAACTTTTCATAAGCTGTCGCAGCATGTGGGGGAAGGCGCCATGCCTCTAATTAACGCCACGCGCTAATATGTTGCCATCCACTTTGCTCCTGCCACCTCGCCTACCTGCAGTGCCCAAGCCCACCTGTGCCACCACCGAGTGTCCCGTCGACTCCACCTGCACCGATACTGGCGACTCTCCCAAATGCGTCTGCAATGGGATGCTTGAAATGAAAGAAAACCGCTGTGGTCAGCGTCTTGCCTCTCGCCCTCTTGCCTCTTGCCCTCTTGCCTCTCGCCCTCTTGCCTCTCGCCCTCTTGCCTCTCACCCTCTTGCCTCTCGCCCTCTTGCCTCTCGCCCTCTTGCCTCTCGCCCTCTTGCCTCTCACCCTCTTGCCTTCGCCCTCTTGCCTCTCACCCTCTTGCCTCTCACCCTCTTGCCTCTCGCCCTCTTGCCTCTCACCCTCTTGCCTCTCACCCTCTTGCCTCTCACCCTCTTGCCTCTCACCCTCTTGCCTCTCACCCTCTTGCCTCTCGCCCTCTTGCCTCTCCCTCTTGCCTCTCACCCTCTTGCCTCTCACCCTCTTGCCTCTCACCCTCTTGCCTCTCCCTCTTGCCTCTCACCCTCTTGCCTCTCACCCTCTTGCCTCTCACCCTCTTGCCTCTCACCCTCTTGCCTCTCGCCCTCTTGCCTCTCACCCTCTTGCCTCTCACCCTCTTGCCTCTCACCCTCTTGCCTCTCACCCTCTTGCCTCTCACCCTCTTGCCTCTCACCCTCTTGCCTCTCACCCTCTTGCCTCTCACCCTCTTGCCTCTCACCCTCTTGCCTCTCACCCTCTTGCCTCTCACCCTCTTGCCTCTCACCCTCTTGCCTCTCGCCCTCTTGCCTCTCACCCTCTTGCCTCTCACCCTCTTGCCTCTCACCCTCTTGCCTCTCGCCCTATTGCCTCTCACCCTCTTGCCTCTCACCCTCTTGCCTCTCACCCTCTTGCCTCTCACCCTCTTGCCTCTCTCGCCCTCTTGCCTCTCACCCTCTTGCCTCTCGCCCTATTGCCTCTCACCCTCTTGCCTCTCGCCCTATTGCCTCTCACCCTCTTGCCTCTCACCCTCTTGCCTCTCACCCTCTTGCCTCTCACCCTCTTGCCTCTCGCCCTATTGCCTCTCACCCTCTTGCCTCTCACCCTCTTGCCTCTCACCCTCTTGCCTCTCACCCTCTTGCCTCTCTCGCCCTCTTGCCTCTCACCCTCTTGCCTCTCGCCCTATTGCCTCTCACCCTCTTGCCTCTCGCCCTATTGCCTCTCACCCTCTTGCCTCTCACCCTCTTGCCTCTCACCCTCTTGCCTCTCACCCTCTTGCCTCTCACCCTCTTGCCTCTCACCCTCTTGCCTCTCACCCTCTTGCCTCTCGCCCTCTTGCCTCTCACCCTCTTGCCTCTCACCCTCTTGCCTCTCACCCTCTTGCCTCTCGCCCTATTGCCTCTCACCCTCTTGCCTCTCACCCTCTTGCCTCTCACCCTCTTGCCTCTCACCCTCTTGCCTCTCTCGCCCTCTTGCCTCTCACCCTCTTGCCTCTCGCCCTATTGCCTCTCACCCTCTTGCCTCTCGCCCTATTGCCTCTCACCCTCTTGCCTCTCACCCTCTTGCCTCTCACCCTCTTGCCTCTCACCCTCTTGCCTCTCACCCTCTTGCCTCTCACCCTCTTGCCTCTCACCCTCTTGCCTCTCACCCTCTTGCCTCTCACCCTCTTGCCTCTCGCCCTCTTGCCTCTCACCCTCTTGCCTCTCACCCTCTTGCCTCTCACCCTCTTGCCTCTCGCCCTATTGCCTCTCACCCTCTTGCCTCTCACCCTCTTGCCTCTCACCCTCTTGCCTCTCACCCTCTTGCCTCTCTCGCCCTCTTGCCTCTCACCCTCTTGCCTCTCGCCCTATTGCCTCTCACCCTCTTGCCTCTCACCCTCTTGCCTCTCACCCTCTTGCCTCTCACCCTCTTGCCTCTCACCCTCTTGCCTCTCACCCTCTTGCCTCTCACCCTCTTGCCTCTCACCCTCTTGCCTCTCACCCTCTTGCCTCTCACCCTCTTGCCTCTCACCCTCTTGCCTCTCGCCCTCTTGCCTCTCACCCTCTTGCCTCTCACCCTCTTGCCTCTCACCCTCTTGCCTCTCACCCTCTTGCCTCTCGCCCTCTTGCCTCTCACCCTCTTGCCTCTCACCCTCTTGCCTCTCACCCTCTTGCCTCTCGCCCTATTGCCTCTCACCCTCTTGCCTCTCACCCTCTTGCCTCTCACCCTCTTGCCTCTCACCCTCTTGCCTCTCACCCTCTTGCCTCTCGCCCTATTGCCTCTCACCCTCTTGCCTCTCACCCTCTTGCCTCTCACCCTCTTGCCTCTCACCCTCTTGCCTCTCTCGCCCTCTTGCCTCTCACCCTCTTGCCTCTCGCCCTATTGCCTCTCACCCTCTTGCCTCTCACCCTCTTGCCTCTCACCCTATTGCCTCCCACCCTTTTGTGTCTCTCCCTCTTTCTTCTCACCCACTTGCTTCTCGCCATTTTTCCCTGTTGCGTTTGCTGCTGATGTGCGTGCGATTGTATGCCTCTGCTTTATGCCAATCTTTAAACTTTTGCCGCTCAAGCGTGCTTGGCGCCATGCTCCTCGCCCCTCTCCCGCCGGCAGTGTTTGATCCCTACTGTGGGCGCGTCCTGTGTCCGCCCGGCTCCTTCTGCAATCGCACTGCCCTCACATGCATCTGCCCTCAAGGGCTCGTATACCGAAACAATTTGTGTCAGGGTGAGTCTCCGGCTTCTCACCCTCTTGCTTCTCACCCACTTGCCTCTCACCCTCTTGCTACATACCTGCTGTTTCTCTCACTCTTGCATTCGCCCTCTTGCTTCTCGCCATAGTTTTCGTAATCTGTTGCGTTGCTGCATATGTGGGAGGCGCCCTGCCTCTGGTTTATGCCAATCTCTAGAATTTTGCCGCTCGAGATTGCTTGTCTTGCACTGTGCTCCTCTTGCCTCTCCTACCTGCAGAGCCCGAACCCTTGTGTGGGTCCATCATGTGTCCGGACATGACCTCCTGCGATAATGCTCCCCAGCTTCCCACATGCCGCTGTAAGGGGGGCTTGAATGAAAGACCACCAATGCGTTAGTCATCCGTTTCCTTCTCACCCTCTCTTGTTTCTCACCCTCTTGCTTCTCGCGTTCTTGCTTCTCGCGCTCTTGTTTTCTCTTTCTTACCTCTGTCTTGAACGAATCTCCCCCTCTCGCGTCCGCTATATTTTCCTAAGCAGTTCCGTTTGCAGCATATGTGGGGAAGGCGCCATGCGTCTGATTTTATGCCACTCTCCAGAATTTTGCCACTCAGCCTTGCCTGCCTGCGCCTTGCTCCTCCCGCCTCTCCTACCTGTAGCATTTGGCCGACCGTCATGTGCGACCATCGTGTGTCAGCCCAACTCCTCCTGCAATGATACTGCCCGACCTCCCACATGCGTCTGTGATAGGGGGTTCAAAGCGAAAGACAAGCAGTGCATTGGTGAGCCTCTTGCTTCTCACCCTCTTGATTCTCACTCTCTTGTTTCTTAATCTCTTGCCTCTCATTCTCTTGCCTCAACTCTCTTGCTTCTCACTCTCTTGCTTCTCACTCTCTCGCTTTTCACTCTCTTGCTTCTCACTCTCTTGCTTCTCACTCTCTTGCTTCTCACTCTCTTGCTTCTCACTCTCGTGCTTCTCACCCTAAGCTGTTGCTTGTGCTGCTGATCTGTTGGAAGCGATATGCCTCTGATTTGCACTTTCCTTTTCCCGCCTCTCCTGTTTGCTTCTCTCTCCTCCCGCTTCACTCGAGCTTTCTTTCACCCCAGCTGGTGTCACAACCATCTGTCCCCACAAACCTCATGCTTACCCTCCTTCATTTACTCAGCTGCCTTCCATTACCTCCCTTTTCCCCCCTCTTCCCCTCCCTCCCCTCACTTTCCCCCTCTGCTCGCTCCCTCCTCTCGCTCCCTGTGTGGCGGCATGCCAGCGTATGACCCGTGTGAAGGGGTGCAGTGTCCCGACAACGCCTTGTGCAGTGCCAACACTGGCGCCTGCATGTGCAGCAATGGCTACACCAAGAAGAAGGGCCTCTGCATTGGTGAGGGAGAAGAGGGAGAGGCCTATGCACTGGTGAGGGAGAAGAGAGAGAGGCCTATGCACTGGTGAGGGAGCAGTGCAACAATTATTTGACTTAAAACCGGAAGGCCAAGAAGGCCCAAAATAGTTCAACCTTCCTAACCTCGGTTGAGTGTGGCCCTCGCACCCAAAATCTTTGCCAATTGTATTGCTTGCCCCAACCAAGCTTCCTAACGTTGAACTTCTTGGCCCGCAGGTTTTAAGTTGCTTTACACACATCTCACTTTTATTTCGCACTTTCATCTCACTTTCACTTCCTTCTCACTTTCGCTGCACCTGCAACCCTTATTCACCAGTCCGTGCTCATATTACATGCGTGCTCCTCTTACTACCTCATGTGCTTTTCGTGTTTGACATGTGCTACAGTTGCTTCAATATTACTCATTTCCCCCTCTCTCATCTCATCTGGTGGTAATTGTTCCCATCGATCTGCTTCTCCCCTATTCAGCCGTGTGCAAGCCAGCATGCCCCAGCAAAGCTGCGTGTGTGGTGGAGGAGGGCAAGCCCGTGTGTCGCTGCAAGCAGGGATACGTGATGAAGAAGAACAAGTGCACGCGCTCAATGCCACTGTCCACGTGACGGCTTGGTTGAGCTGCCAAGTAGGTGATCTAATGGTCGATAGTCTTCTTTTGTCCGACTTTCTCCCGAAATCCCTGACACCCACCACAACGAACATGCCATCCTGGTTCATGCGTTCACATGGACTTGGTGTCTGCCCATCCATCAGCATTCTCCATCCACAGCCCCAGCCTCTTGTTTTCCAACTTATCTTTCGTCCCCATTGTGCATTTCCACCCTGCTCCACTTTCCCGTGGGAGTAGTGGGGTGGTGGGAGGAGCACCACTGGAGGAGAAGCGCTCAGCAGCTGTGTCATCCTAGATTCGAGCATTCTCTGTATTTGCCCACCTTGGGTGCTGCACTATCAACACCACCAATGTTGCTACAATGGTCCACCCATGCTACAATGTTTCTAGTTTTTTGTCTTTCTATTTCACTCTTTTATGCCATGTATTGTATTCCTATGGGCAGTTGCGACTTGTTGCTTATAGGTTTTGGGTAACACTTATTGAATGTTTTTTTATGCGATTGTACAATAAATTATCTCATTCTATATGCATTGCATACCATACCATTTTTTCTTCCATCGCTTCACAATGCTTGGGACTTAAAGCCCGGGGTCAGCATGGTAATTTATCAAGTTATGTGGGTTTGAAATTGTGTTGGCGAAACCTTCAAAACAAGTATTTCGGCAAAGTCAGTGTAGCGAGAGAGCGATAGATTGACGAGGGGAAAAGGGGTCTCGCCAAACGTGAACTGACAAACTTGAGGGCAGTGTCAGGCGACCAGAAGGAGTGTCGCAAGGATTGTTCTTCAGCCAATCAGGTTCAAATAGTGGAGATCTCCACGCACTATTCAAGTACTAGCAAAAACGAGAAGGGGAAGAAAACACGAACAACGATCAAGCTCACAACTTCCCGTCTGAAATAACCGCAGGAGCTAACAACAGAACGTGCAAACGTTGGTAACGTGCAAGAACATAAACATGCGGGGTCGCAGGAAGGAGCGTTGAGAAGAGCGCGAGACATCGCGATATGGGAGTACTTCATGTTGCATTAGGCAAGTCGATTGTCTCTGCAGCGCTTAGGACAACGGTTTCGGGCTATTGCTCTCGTATACTGGGCTTGAAAGTGCCTATTAGTTAGGGTAACGCCACGCCGTGGGGCATCCACAATACGCAGACCCTAAGGGTTACGCAACTGTACTCTGTCAGCCACCGGGCGCCCACGGGCGGGTAGCAGCGCGTGCACCCGGAGACGACCATCCCCCTCACCGGTTTACGCGCAGCGCGCGCAACTGGTCGTTTAGCATCGTGTCCCACTCCTCTCCTCCTCCCGTGCGCCCCGCCCCCCGCCGCCCGCCGACGCGCTCGACGCTGGCGGAGGAGAACCAAGGGACGGCAGAGGGAGCTGCGACGGAAAGCTTATACCTAAACTAGCTTTTATCGGCCTGCCACGCGTTTCCTAGTTACGTGCCTAGCCTTGTGGATTAGGAGTACTACTTGGTCGTCAAGTTATGTGAGAGGTGACCACGGCAACCTCATGAGGGATGTTCGGATCTGTTGTGCCAGGGTCCTCGCTAGTTTCAGAACCCGCCTGACGCGTCAGACATTTTTTATTCCTGGTAACTTATGCGTCAGATATTATCATATGCCTAAACTTCTAAATCAGAAATTACAAAAAAAACTACCTACTGTTATCAGCATGTCTACTCTAGTTCAGTCAGGTCTAGGCCTAGCCTAATGCTACTTTCTGATCACCAGGTTTCAGCTTCTCTACTCACTGTCAGAATCAGTGGCCAGGGAAAGGGTTGCACGAACATCTACGCCATCGTCTTCACTGTCACTTTCTGGAAGCTTGTCCCTCTTACGTCTCTTCCTCACAGCAAGGGAGGCCTTCTCGGCAGCCTCTGTCTCTGGTGCCGCATCATCTGCACCTTCCGCCAGCCCCCTGCGCTTGTGGCCCTTAGCCACACCACTGACTTCCTTGGCAGGGCGTCGCTGTCTTGCGCCTCGCCACAGCTTCACTACATCGTCCCAGTCTGGCTCGTACTGCAGGAGAGAGATGCACATGAGATCAGCAAGCCTGGCGTCGCACAAGTTGCCACGAAGCCAGGACTTGATGACATTCTGGCGACTGAAACCACGCTCGCACTCCACTGTGCTGAGCGGCAAGACTGCGACGGCCATCCACAAGCGGACGAGGTTGGGGTACGACGTCTCCCAGTCGTCGCTTCGCAGCATGTTCTTGAGGCCTCCGTGGAAGGTTTGATCCTTGTACTGCGCGTACATCATCCGTGTGAAGCGCGGCAGCTCACGTTCGGCTTTCTTCCAGCTGACACCTAGCAGGCACAAGGAAACCAAACAAGCAGTCAGTGCCAGTGGTCAAAGATGTACAAAACCAGTTACAAGTCATCGCGCAGTTAGTTTGGCGGCTAGGCAGATGCGTACCAGGCAAAGCGCAACTGTCGCCGTTGAAGAGCGTGCGAAGGGAGCGGAACCACTCTTCCGTGATGCGATCTCGCTTGGCAGCACCATCTGGATAGGCGTCGGGCAGAAAGAGCTTGGAACCAACAATGGTCGCCAAGCTCTTAAACCGGAACTTGAGGCGGCCGATCACTTCCAGTGCAAACTTCTTGGCAAGAAGAACACATGACTCCAGATCCGGTGCTGATTCCACGCCTGGGATGGGCAGCTCGTGCAACTGGAAGGTGTGCGTGACAGCGTTGCCTTCACTGTCCATCCCCTCCACGTTGACTTCACGGCGGGAGGGATGCGTGCGTTCTTCCAGGAACGCACTGAGACGGTCGCTGTCCTCTGCAAAGTTGACACCGTACTCCACGTAGCGCGCATTCAGCTTTGCGCACGTGTTCTCCACCATCCCCGATACGCGCGTGATGTCCACCTGAAACAGAACGAAGGAAATGATGTTAGCACAGCGGATTGCAACGACCCAAGGTAGACAACTTGCTAAACTTTATAATAGCTTTAACTCACCGCTCGCCTCTGGAATTTCCTGTTCAGGTCGTTCAGCTCCTTGAGGACATCGGCAATGAAGAACAAGAAGAAGTGGAACTTCAAGCTTGTCACCATGTTATAGGTGTCCTTGTCTTGCTCATGCAGTAACACGATCGCCGCGGGAAGGACGGCCACAAAGCGCTCGATGGCATCTCCGCGCGCGAGCCATCGCACGTCTTTGAAACCCTGCATCTCCAGATGCGTCGCGTGCAGAACCTGCTGGAGCTCGAGAAAACGATGGTGGACGACGGAGCTGTTGGAGATGAGGCTCGCCACTGAACGCACCACTTTGTCGACGATGTTGAAGTCGGGCACGTTTGTTGCAGCGTCTTTAGCTGCAAGCGCCTCTCTGCACAACACAGCCATCAGAACAGTAGGGGATCAACGTGGGTATACAAGGTGGAAGGGTACATGCTTGTATAAACCAATGATGCTCACCGGTGAGCGACGCAATGAGTTGCCACAAGATGCGGAACGCGCAACCGCAGCTGAACGCAGATCCCGTTGTTTTCTCCGGTCATCACACTCGCGCCGTCGGTACTGATGCCCGTGATCTTACGGATATCCACTCCAGTGTTCTCCAGATGTGCGAGGAGCACGGCGAGCAAAGATGACGCGTCGCACTTCTCCACGGTGAGATGCCCGAAAAACTCGCACTCCACCTTCGCCTCCTTGAAGAAGCTCAAGTACATGATCATATGCTTCCCACGACGCCTATCTGTTGACTCGTCCAGCTGGATCCCCAAGAAGGGTGACTCGATGATGTACTGCATCTGCCGAGCCTTGAGGTGCTTTGTCAGTGCCTCTGTCATCTGCCGAAATCCATAGCTGCACGTAAAAGAGAACAGAAACGATTAGTATTGCCGTCATGGATGCAGAGAATAGTAACCCACGATTGTATCGGACTTACTCTGACTGGTAAGTCCCCAGCGCCTTATCCGGAATGTTGGGCGTCTTGAGCAGTTGCAGTAACGACACAAGCCCCACAAACAACGCGATGGGAACATCCGACTTGCAAATGAATAAAACAACAAGAAGAAGCTGCTTCAACCGCGCAAGTTCACCAGCCTCATCCTCATACTCGTCAATCCCGCGCTGACAAACCTTCCCACCTTCCGCGCGCTCCTTCCGGTTGAAGGCGTCCTGGTGCTTCCGGGACAAACCATGCTTGCGCATGGTTTGCTTCTGGATGTCGATCCCCCCTTGCCCGTTCTTCCCGTACTGCCAGTTAGGAGGACCGTATGTTGTGCAGATCGTGCATTTCATGCATGGCTTTCCGTCGTCGCGCTGCGAAATCACCAGCCACGGGAACCGTCGCTGCCATATGTCGCGGCACTTCGCCCGCAACTCCTTCAAGAGAGCGTCCGGGTCAGGCACTAGCACGGTGGGCGTTGACGGACCGGGGTCACGCTGCGGTGCACTTCCTCCAGCAGCAGCAGCAGGTGGCGTGGTGGTCGTTGCCTCCGCACGCGGCCGAGTTTGCGTGATGCGTACGTGTGGCACACGAGTTCGTGCGAACCGAATCGTGCTTTGCGTGAATCGCGCAGCCGTTGGGAACCGAATACGGCTGGCAGACCGTGCAGCACTGACGGTAGACGTGGCAAATCTTCCGCCGTTATTGCTCGGCGATGCATCGACGGGCTGGTCGCTTAGCTGACGGCGTAGATTCGCCTCTGGCCATGGCTCGGTACTAGCAGTGGGAGGATAGTCTGAGGGCAACACGGGTGTGGGCGGCTCGGCTGTAGGAAATACGGGCGTGGCGGTGGTCGGGGCAACGAGTCTGAGGAAGTCTAGGCCAGTCCTCTGTTGTGGAGCACTAGAAGTGAGAGGTGCAGCAGGTCGGGTCTCTACCGGCAAGTCACCAGGATCATCCATGGGGAATGATGCCTGGGGGAGAAACGAGAAAGCTTCGCTAGGGCTGAGCTGAGGGTAGGCGTGGCACCTGAGGGGGTTAAAACAGGAGGAACTAGACCATACATGGGATGGCACGCACCGCGGTGCCCCATCGAACACATGGACCAGCGCGACGAAGGAGCATCGTCGGTGCGAGCCGCTGCAACCCACTTTCATGTGTGCTGTAAAAAACTGACCAATGAGCGCAAGAGCTGCAGCAGAATCTTCCAGCAACAAGCACGTCAGGTTGTCAATGGCCGACCCCGCCTGTACCTAGACAGCCAACGGTGCGCGAACGATGCGCCGTCACCCCAAACTTGACAGGGGATGCTCGGTAACTGCCGTGATTGACGGAAGTACCGTCAATCACGGCACCCTGTATAAACCTCGGTTTCAGACAAACATGATAAGGGTCCCTTGTAAATCAGATAAACTAGGAAAAACACTTCTAACTCAATCAGACAAATTCTAAATGTCAGTTCTAACCCATCAGATATTCAAAACAATGGAGACTTAGAAACCAGATTGCACCACAAAAAAACCCCTGTTTTTAAAGACAAACAGACAAAAAAGTCTGATGTCGAGGACCCTGGTTGTGCGACTGGGCACAGGAACCAATCAGGAATGACCGTCGCAAGATGTTTTCCCTGAGTCGCGAGAGTTCTTTCAAACAAAAGCGGGTAACCCTGTTTTTAGCGACTTCAAGTTCAAGAATCTTGAACTTGAAATATACCATGCTGTACCCGGGCTTTAATGTTTATATATGATGGTATATAATGTTTAAAAAACTGAGACAGCGGGAATGAAGTGAAGTACGGTAGGTAGGAAAGGTTGGGTACAAATAACAAACCCTAACTAACATATACTCTCTACAGCACGCCCCACTATAGGCCAGCACAATCATATGTATACAGTTTGAAACACCTCCATAGGTGAAGTGAGGGATAGCAAGAGAGAGAAACAACCACAAATGATCACAAGACCAATCAAAAGAAGAAGCAGGGTGGATCACACGATCACCACACAGTCCGAGCACAAGCAAGTGGCCACAAGGCCAGTTCACATGCAGTGTTATAACAGCAAGAACAATACAATGATCAAAACCTAGCAAGTGTACACATGCAGGTATAGATAGATGTACAACAAGTACGCATAGAGATCAAGAGCTAAGTAAGTGGGGCAAAATTGGCACAACGCAAAGAGCTGTGCAGAACCGCTGATGCCCACTAGTCCCAAGTGCCTTGGTGAACATTATCAGCGGTGTTGGCCCAAGGGGCCACGATGCGAACCTGACCACTCAGCTGCAACTCTCGCAGCAGAAAGTATCGAACTGCAATGTGCTTCTTTTTGTGCTTAAGACTTTGCCCTCGACACAAGGCAATCATGGCCTTGTTGTTAACGAACAGAACTGGTGAAGGCCGAGGCCACTCACCCTAGTCGGTGAGCAAGTAGGTCAGCCAGAGCAACTCCTGCCCAACCATCCAGCATAGATCTCGGCCTCACAGATGGAGCCGAGCACATAACCAATGCCAAGGCTGAAAGTGTAGCACTGTGAAGACTTGGAAGTCGCCTAGTTGTCGGCCCACGAGTCGTCTGAGTGTTCTGTGAGTACAAATGGGCCCCGTCCCCCAAGCACCAGCCCAAGCCTGATGTACTGGCCAAGTAGTGCAGCACCCTCTCAGCAGCCAACCAGTCCTTAGGTCGATGTCTCCTGGGTGCAACGTAGCGAGCCAGGATGCTGAGAGGTTACACGAGGTCAGGCCAAGTGCACATCATCAGGTGCATGAGGCAACCCACAAGCTCTGTGTATAGATCATTCGGCTCTACGAGCTCGTTCGAAGGTGGAGTTGAGACCAAATGGTCTGTAGGTAGAAGAGTGGGTTGTTCCGAGGAAAACTGAAGGCACACACGTTGAAGGACCTATTGCACCATGTGTGACTGATTTAGTCTGATGGTGCACGCTGCTCTGTTCCGGGTGATCGGCAAGCCAAGATGGGTTCACAGTTTAACCAGATCAATATATCTTCAGCAGCTCAGCCTTCAAAAGGGCCAGTGCCTCACGGTCAGCAGTAGCAAAGACCAAGTCGTTGACGTACATGAGGATTTAGAACGACAGAAGAGAAGGGTCAGTGCGCTGAAACAGCGATGTGTCAGCAGTCGAAGGAGCAAAGCCAAGAGCCGCAAGTGTACTTCGCGATGTGTCATGCCACTCACGGGGCACTTGACGGAGACGCCGTCGAAGGCTCCAGTTGGTACCCACAGAAAACGACCCAGTGAAGCCAGGTGGGCGGCGCAGCCATATCTCCTCATGGAGGCTGCAGCCCTGCAAGAAAGCTTTTAAGAAGTCGAGCGAGTGCAGCTCGTAGTCACATTGTGCTGCAACGTGCAGTAGCGTCCGAAGAGCCATCATCTTCGGGTTGGGGAAGTAGGTACGGAAGAAGTAGACTCGCTGACGCTGACTAAAACCTCGTACAACATAATGTGTCTTGAAGACGGGGGGGGGGAGACCCGGTGGCCCCTTCAACCTGAAAATCCACATGCCATCGACGTACGTAGGAGAGGTAACTGCGTCGACGTACATTCTATTGGACTTCCAGGATACCATCTCCGCTTCCATAGCTGTCTGCCACTAAGAAGGCCAAGGAACCGTGATCGCCTCAGCGTAAGAGCGCAAGGTCGGGACGCCCAGTGCATCCGGGTCTCCCTCAGGGGCATGCAGCACGAGGTACTCCAACTCAAATTGCCTGTCCTCAAGGACTTCATAGGTCAAGATCACCCACGATGGACACAGGGCAGGCCGAGTAAGGAACCAGTCTCGCGAGGTAGTCAAGGCAACAAGTAGCAGCAAATTCAGTGAGCTCCGCGACCAAGGCAGACATAGCAGCAGATGAAAAGGTAGGGTCCGTCACAAGCATGTTAAGACAATGAGTGACAGTCAGACTGGCAGCGCGAGCAAGGTCAGACACAAGGTCAGGAACGTCAGGAAGAGACGATGGGGGATGTAACGGCAGGACATCAGACTGTGACATAGAGAAAGGACGAATTGTTATGGTGTGAGTACTAGGAACAGGTGGAGGGCTAGCATGAGAGAAACGAGTCAAGCAACAGGTGAGGTAGCACGAGATGCAAGATCCTGTAACACAGTCGGTGAGTCGGTCAACGGGGACTAACGAGGACGAGCAGGCAGAGGAGAGCCAGGCGGCAAACGCGCCTGAGACATGTAAGGCGGAGGAAATAAGTAGAGGAGGAGTAGTACCAGCGGCAGACGAGTTTGCAGAGGCAGGCGGAAGACTGAGAAGGTAGTGAATCTCTGACCCAGGTAGCGGCAGCGACGACTGCGGCTGCTCTCATAACAACAGCCACTACTGCACGAGCAGTGGTGCACCCCCAAAAGTAGCTCCTCTAGTGCTAACTCCCTAAACGCCTCCAGCTCCAGCACGACCAACCCCCTCAGTTGCAGTACCACCAACACCACCAGCTCCAGTACTGCTAGCTCCGGGGGCCACTAGCACCTCCAGCTCTAGTACCTCCAGCACCACCAGCTCCAGTAGCTCTAGCTCCTCCAGCTCCACCTCTAACACCCCAAGAACCTTCAGCAGCCGACCGAGGTAGTGGCAGCGAAGACTACTGCTGCTCGCAAAACAAGGGCCACCGCGATAGTGATTGCAATGTACCCTCAGAACCTCCAACAACAATGCCCTCCATTCCACCAACACGAGGACGCTTAGCACCCCCTGAGACAACACCCTCAGGGTCAGCACCCCCAGAATCAGCACCCCCAGAGCCCGCACCTCCTGAGTTACCACCTCCAGAACCAGCACCCCCAGAGCCCGCACCTCCAGAGTCACCACTCCCAACAACACCAAAGCCCGCTCAGTCCACAGAAACAAGCTGCAGAGGCGATGAAGTCGATCGAGGCGGAAAACGAGGAGGTGTCTTTAAGTGCGGTGAGCGGCGAGAGGCGCGGTGAGCGTGACGAGCTCTAACGTTGCTAGTGTTTGGGAAAACCAGGGCGAGAGGCGGGGATTGACAGTGCAGCTCGCTTGGTGGGTGGGTACGGTGGGGTCATCAATAGAGAGGTGTAAAAGAAGGGCCTCTCATTCTCACCACCCAGCTGCAATGCGACGCGACGTGGGGGCACCATGCACGCACTTGGATGCAGGTTCGGGGTGGGTGAGATGGGGTGAGGTGGGTGTCCATGTCGTGGGGGCGTGCGGTGCATTGCTGTGCTGCACTGATGGTGGGTGATTGGCCCATAAGGGATGTGATTGGTTCAACAACCAATCACATTATTTTATGCATTCAGTCGGTGACAACGACGCAACCGTCGCGTCGGGAAAATTCGTTTTTCCCTCTGCGTCAGCGCTGTAGATGGGAACTTTTGCGTGATTGACGGGAAATGTACCTGGACAGCCGAAACTCAAGGCTCCAGCACGAACCTGTAATAGCATAATTTCAGCCTACATTCTCGTTACAGCGCTGATCAATCAGCGAACACTTTGTAAAAAAACGCTAAGAAATCAGCCCTTACAAAAAAAAAAAAAAAAAAAAAAAAAAAGAAGCAACAACAACAACAACAACAACAACAACAACAACAACAACAACAACAAACAAACAAACAAACAAACAAACAAACAAATAAACACTGGAAAATCAGCCGATACATTAAAAAAAAAAGGCTAGAGATTCGCGAATCAGCCAACACATTAGCCACATGTTTGAAAATTAGCCTCCAAAGCCTAAATCAGCCTTTTTTCTCTGAAACATGAGGCCATGCCCCTAACCCCTACACTGGCTTAACTCGTACACACAAATAGGTGTCCTATATAAGGCTTGTCAAACTATATATGTAATTATGATTAGGTGTAGGTTGTAGTGGGGTAGCCAATTTGGGGTACACCCTTTTAGGGTTCTCATACTTGTACCCAAACACTCTCGATAGTCATCATCCTTGCTTCTATATCGACATGGTATAGAGCAGGTCCTTCCTAAGGGCCATTCTTTTTAGGGCCCACTATTCCGCCTGCGGTTACCGCATTACCCCACTGCCCTACATGCGTCGCGCTGCCTAGCGCACGCCACCTGCGCGCTGCCCCTGCTGGCTGCGCGTCACTACTGCAGCGCGTGTTTTTTCTAGCGCACTGCTCTGCTTGCTACGCCCCGCGCGCGCTGCTCGTCGCGCCGCCCCGCAGCCCCGTGCGCCGCCCGCCTTGCTGCTGCGGCTGCCTGCTGCGCCCGCGCGCCGCCCGTTGCGTCGCCCCGCAGCCCCGCGCGCGCCTGTTGCGTCGCCCCGCAGCCCCGCGCGCCGCCTGCTCTGCTGCTGCGGCTGCCTGCTGCGCCCGCGCGCAGCCCACCCTGCTGTCGAGGCGGCCTGCTGCGCCCGCGCACCGCCCGTTGCGCCGCCCCGCAGCCTCGTGCACTGCCCGCCCTGCTGCCGCGGCTGCCTGCTGCGCCCGCGTGTCGCCTGTCTCGCCGCCTCGCAGCCCCGTGCGCCGCCCGCCCTGCTGCCGCGGCTGCCTGCTGCGCCTGCGCGTCGCCCGTCGCGTCGCCCCGCAGCCCCTTGCGCCGCCCGCCCTGCTGCCGTGGCTGCCTGCTGCGCCCTCGCGCTGCCCGTCCCGCTGCCCTGCAGCTCCCTGCACGGGACCCGCCCTGCCGGCCGCCTGCAGCCTTGTGCGCCGCCCGCCCTTCTGCCGCTGCCGCCTGCCGCGCCCACGCGCTGCCCATCCCGCTGCCCTGCGGCTCCCTGCGCGGGACCCGCCCTACTGCCCTGCCGGCCGCCTACAGCCTTGCGTGCCGCCTGCCTTGCTGCCCGTCGGCTGCCTGCTGCCCCGCGCGCCACCTCTGCGCCTGCCCCTCCTGCGGCCGCCTGCTTCAGCCTAGCGCGCCACCCCTGCTACTACTGCTTGCCTGCCATCGCTCTGCCCTGCCAGTCCCGCGCCAGCAGCGATGGTCACCCTCCGCGTTTTGTCGTTCGACACTGAGGGCCGCCCGGTTCAGTTCGAAACCTGGCTAGATGACCTGCAGATGTTCTTAATGAGCGATAGCAAGGACAATGTTTCACTTTTTGACCACACGTCTGGTGCCTCAGTCGCTCCTGCTGCCACAGCTGAGCTTAGCGCCCACTCCCAATGGCAGACTCGTGATGCCGCTGCTCGCCTAGCCGTTCGCAACCACCTGCCGTTAGCCGAACTTCAGCACTTTGGCGAGCACAAAACTGCTAAGGCCCTGTACGACACTGTAGTTGCTCGCTACATCTCCCCTGCCACTGCTGAGCTTAGCCGCCTCATGCTACCCTACCTGTTTCTGGAGTTGTCCACCTTTGCTACAGTTGCCGATCTTATCACCCACCTTCGCACTAGTGACACTCGCCTTCGCGCCGCCCTTCCCAAAGAGTTCTGTGCTAAGAACCTGCCTCTGATGTACTGGACCCTTCACTTCATAGTCACCTGTCTCCTTGACTCTCTCAGCTTGGTCAGGGACCACTTTCTCGCTCGCTGTCCCACCGAGCTCACCGTCGACCTCCTAGAGCAGCACCTCCTTGAAGCAGAGAAGAGCATTGTCGCAGTAGCTGCTGCTCGTGGCGCTCCTCGCACCCCCATCTTTGAGGGGTGCTCTCCCTCTCCCCTCGCCCCCTCCTTCGCTACTGCTGCTGCTGTCGACTTCCTTGGTGCTGAGTCTGCTGGTGCTGCTTCTGCTCCAAGTGGGAGGCACCACAACGGCAAGGGCAAGGGAGCCAAGGGTAGCGGAGGTGGCACCGGGGGGGGTGGTGGTGGAGGCAGTCGAGGAGGAGGAGGGACGGGTGGCGGGAGTACTGGCGGGAGTGGTAGCGTCGGTAGCGGCGGTCGAGGCGGTGGCGTCGAAGGGGGTGGCGGCGGGGGTGGTAGCAGCAATGGCGGCGGCGGTGGCGGCCGGGGCGGTGGTGGCGGCGGCGGTGGCGGTCGGGGTGGAGGCGCTGGCGCTGGCCACCGACAGCAGCAACAGCAGCGTCCCCAGACATCCCAGCAGCTTCGTGAGTGGCTTGCTCAGCGTTGGAAGTCTTGGGGTGGTGGTCGCTGCCCTTATGTCATTCGCACAGGTGAACATAAGGGTCAGACGTGCAACAAGTTCCACACTCAGTACCGCTGCTTCTTCCGCCTTGACGATGCCTGGCGTGAGGAGATGGGCGATGAGTATGAGCGCCCTCGTTGGCATGAGCTGTGGAAGGCTGGTGTAGACATTTTTGCTCTTGACTTTGATGCTATTATCTCTGCTATGTATGCATTGGAATATAGTGCTGACGGTGACAGTTACTTGTGTGTGCCGCCTGACCCAGGTATAGAGGCTGCTGCCTTAGGTGCGAGCGAGTCTGCTCACCCAGGTATAGAGGCTGCTGCCTTAGGTGCGAGCGAGTCTGCTCTCTCAGGTACTGCGCCTACTGAGGCCTTGCACACCTTCACGCTTAACTCAGGTGCTTCACGCTGCTACTTCTTCCGTGACAGTGCCGCACTCACACCGCTCCCTACGCCTGTCGCCGTCTCTCTGGCTGACCCCTCAGGGGGCCCAGTTCTTGCACGGTCCACCACTGTGCTTCCGTGCCCGGCGGTCCCGTCTGGCTCACTGTCAGGTCTCCACCTCCCCTCGTTCTCGACGAACCTGGTGAGCAACGCGGTCCTCCAGGATCATTGGGTTGACACCTTTACCCCTGGAGGACAGCGTGTGGCGATCTGTACGTGCTCCAGGACTGGCCGTCACCTGGCCACGTTCACCCGTCGGCCAGGGTCGAGTCTTTACACACTGACAACCGTGTCTCCTCAGGTCGCTGCTGTTGGTCAGGTGTCTGCGTCAGGTCTGGTAGCCTCCCCTTGTGAGTGTCGCTCCCTGTCGCACCAGACTCTTCTCTGGCACCACCGTCTGGGTCACCCCTCCTTGCCACGTCTACGTGGCATGCACCGTCGCCTCCTTGTGTCTGGTCTTCCCAGGTCTCTCCCTCCCCTCCTTGCCTTTCTTGCGCTGCCCTGCCTTCCTTGCGTCGAGGGGCGGCAGCGCGCCGCTCCTCACTCCTCCTCGTTTCCCCCGACAGAGGCTCCCCTGCAGACCCTCCACCTGGACGTGTGGGGCCCAGCCCGCGTTCGTGGACAGGGCGGTGAGCGGTACTTTCTGCTGGTTGTCGACGACTACTCGCATTACACCACGGTCTTCCCCTTGCGCACCAAGGGTGAGGTCCCTGCTGTCCTGATCCCTTGGATCCGAGCAGTTTGTCTCCAGCTCCGCCGGAGGTTCCGGTCATACCTTCCTGTCCTGCGTCTGCACTCTGACAGAGGTGGTGAGTTCACCTCCAACCTCTTGCGGGCCTGCTGTCAGAGGGAGGCAGTCGTTCACGCTTCCGGGCTCACCGCAGCAAAATGGGGTTGCTGAGCACCGCATTGGCTTGGTCATGGAGATCGCTCGTACCTCCTTGATCCATGCGGCAGCTCCCCATTTTCTGTGGCCGTTTGCGGTTCGGTACGCCGCGCAGCAGCTCGACCTCTGGCCCCCTGTCTCCTTGCCAAACACCTCGCCCACACTGCGTTAGACGGGAGCGGTTGGCGCTGCGTCGCGGTTCCGGGTTTGGGGTGCTCATGCCCTTGTCCGCGATACGTCCGCGGACAAGCTCTCCTCCCGCACCATTCCCTGTGTCTTCCTTGGCTTTGTCCCTGACGCGCCTGGCTGGCAGTTTTACCACCCCACCTCGCACCGTGTCTTCCCCTCCCAGGACGTCACCTTTGACGAGTCTGTTCCTTTCTACCGTCTCTTCCCCTACCGCACTGGCCCTCCCCCTCCCCCGCCGCTTTTCCTCGCTCCAGGTCCCCCTCCGGTAGACCCCCCCCCCCCCCCCCCTCAGGGTCCTGCTCCTTCAGGTGTGTCTTAGGTAGACCCGCTCCCCTTGGCTGAGCCTGTGGAGTTACTTCCGACACCTCTGGCCCAGCTGTGGGGGTTGACGTTGCTGCTGACGACGCGGTGCCCCCCCGCCGCTCACCACGCTTGGCGACCCCTCCGGGTTTTCCACCTCGACCGTCTTCGCCGCCTCTGCAGCCGGTTCCGGTTGACTCTGGTACTGCTGAGGGTGGTGCTGCTCGGGGTGCTGCGTCTGGGGGTGCTGAGCCTGTGCGTGAGGTGCTGGGGGTGCGGAGCCTGGGGGTGCTGAGCCTGCGAGTGCGGAGCCTGGGGGTGCTGAGCCAGAGGGTACCGGGTCCGGGGGTGCTGAGTCTGCTGGCGTTCCGCGGAGTCTCCCTCTTTCTGCTGCTGGAGCTGCTGGAGCTAGTGGTCGTGGAGGCGCTGGGAGTGCTGGTGTTTCTGGTTCTGGACGTGCTCGTATCGGGGGTACTGGAGCTGCCATGACTGGTGGTACTGCTGGACCTGGGGGTGCTAGTTCTGGGGGTGCTAGTTCTGGGGGTGCTGAGTCTTCTGGCGGTCCTCCTGGTGTCGTGTCGCAGCGGCCACCTCTCTCGCGACAGCAGCTACGCGAGTGGCTTGCTTCGTGCACCCGCCGTCAGAATCGCGCTGCTGGAGGTACAGGGGCTGGAGACCCTGGCGCTGGAGGTGCCGGTTCTGGGGGTGCTGCAACTGGAGGTGCTGGGACTAGAGGCCCTGGGGCAGTGCCGGTTCTGGGGGTGCTGCTGCTGGAGGTACTGGGGCTGGAGAGCCTGGAGCTGGAGGTGCCGGTT